TTTTTTTTTTTTTTCTTTGTTTTTGATATTAATATAAACTTTTTGTTAACACTTAATTCAGTGTATAAAAAGAGAAAGTTATAATATAATTTGAAAGAGACAAAAAAAGACAGAAAGTAGATCCCAAAAAATTTACGAGTGATACCTTTAATTGCAATAAATTTGCTTGGAAATTTTTCTTATGCTAATCTTTATTTGCTCAAAACTAAGCTTTCCAGTAGACAATTTAATAAACAACAAAAATTACTGAAAAAAAAAAAAAGTGTAACTTTAATGTTGAAAAGTTTCCAAATCAAAAAAAAACAATTTTTTTTTTTTTTACTGTTACTTTAGTTTCATTTTTGTTAAGGTTTTGTCGTCGTTTTGAATGATATCGTTGGGGTATCGTGGAAAGATTTATTCCAACACTTTTTTTCTCACTAGTTTTTGTTTTCTAATAGATCAAATATTTTAGAATTTGTGTATACCCTCTGGTAATTTTTAGTGGAAAAAGTTAAACGATCAATATGTTTCCACTTTTTATTATTTGATCTGTCGTCAAAGAAACACTTTTAGCAATTATCATTTTCTTTTTTATCCTCATTTCCAGTCACTAGAAGCCATTAAATAATATTATTCTGTTTGGTAATTCAGTTACTGATGATTCAAATTGGTTGAAATCTCTGTTGCGCAAAAACAGAAAAAAAAAGAAAAGGGTCAACGCTCGCTCGTAAAACATTGGTGGAAAATCTGTACCTGTCAGTCGTCTGTTTCAACGCTATAAGTTAAAAATTATTTGGCAAAGACGCTCGCTTCAAATATGGCATCGCATCAAAAACAGTGTTGCAACGCTTTCGTGCTGACGAAAATGCCGAATCTCAGTAGTTGGTTCTTGCTGTACAACTTGTAGATCTGTTATAAAAAGCTAAATAGTAGCTCATTATAACCAATTTATTTTCTTGTGCAATAACTTCATAACTGGCACCATAGTGCTGCTACTGACGCTGTTCTTGTTGTTGACTATTGTTGCAGTTTATTCGGTTACTGCTGATCTACCCAATGCGTTATTTTACCTGCAGGTGTAATTGTCAAAAATTTAGTGATACTAACATTGTAGAAGTAGCAGAGTTGGTTGTCGTCACATCAGTATGATCTGTTCGCTTGTAGCGACTGGCTGTCTATGTCAGTTTGCTTTGATCAGTCAAATGTTCTGTGCTTTGGGGATTAAAATAACGATATTAATTTGCTGGGTATTTGAGTACTTTCTTTTTTCTCATGCATTATTATGCTAAATGTGCTTCTTTTATGTTTTTTTTCTTTTCATTCTTTCTGAGGAAGAGGATACTTAATGACTTTACTCTATTTACTGCTTTATAGGTTTCAGGGAATTGAAAGGCTAAAATAATTAAAAAATTTATTCTTCTGCTGTATATTATAGCGCCTGAAGTACCAATCTGTTGTGCTTTACTGGGAAATGCAAATGTATATTTAAAATTGGGAGTTGACTCATCAAACTTTGCAAGAGACTTTATCATTTAATTTCAGTCAGTAAAAAAGCTGCAGTTTAAATTGAAGTGTGGAAATAAAAAAGTTTTTTAAAAATATTTTATCAAGGTATGGTCGATGATTCTACGGCACGTCAATTAGAAGTCGCGTTCACAGTTGAAATGTTTGTCTTTTGAAGAGAACTTTTAACACCTTGTAGAGAATAAAAACTGAGAGGCGTCGACACCGCAGTAGCTTTTCTGGTTTCAGATTTAGACGTCCATAAACAGCCTGGTAAGAGTACAGTGAAGAGGAATATAATTTCGACTGATACCTTTTTATGCTGCTTTACCGTTAGAGTAGAAGTAGATACAATTTTGCGCTTTTTAATTTAATTTTTGTTTTGTTCTTGCTGGATAATATTATTTGGCGACTTGAGGAATATGAACTGCAATGAACAACTTTTACTAATCGGTATTCAGATTTGGAGTAGTCTCGTTGTTCGATAGCGTGAAGTAACCATGCATGTGATGGGCGAAAGCTCAGAAATCCAGCGGCAGAGTTTCGCCGAAAACCCGCTTAATGTATTTATTTGTCCATTTGATTTGAAACCTGTATTTTTATTAGTTTTAAGTTAGTGTCTGCGGTCGTTTTTTTAGAATGAGCTGCTTCCTAAAGCTTTTTATTGGAAATGAATTGTGATGAGTAACTTGTCAGAAAAGCGTAGCATTTCAGGATGTCAATTTTACTGGTAGGCTTTTGCGGAATTCATCAGTTGGGCAAACTCGTTATAACAACTTACGAAGGTCAGATCTAACTGTTCTTGACAGCCAGTTGTCTGTTCCTCTCAATCACTGGAAGAACGCGGCAGTTCAAGGTTTTCAAATTGTTCTTTGATATGAGATAGTCTCGCAGGGATTTGTAATGGAAACGTTTATGGTATAGCGTCAGATCGTTGTTTAATCAATCGTTATTTTGACTGCGGAATAATAACCATGCTATCTTTTCCGCAGGTGAACTTCATAACCCTTAAATTAAACAGGAATGTTTCAGGAAATAACATTAATTATTTCACATCCTACTATGCTGTGCAGCCTGGTTTCACGGACATTGGGGATAGTGCTTTGGAAAGCAAGGCTGAACCACCTAGTTATTAATTGTTTTATTAGTCGTTTGTTGTTTCCGGCTTTTAAATAATCTAATTATTTTGATAAATCCTGCTTCAAAAACGCTTTAAAGGTTTAATAATTAACGGTGGAGGTGAGTTGGGTTACATGGCGAATGGTCCACAGAATACTTCTTTGGGATCAGGTGCCAACCACGGGAATTGCAATGGTCCGTCAGTTGTATCTTCTCTCCAGTCTACTGATAACATTCAAAATGAAGCTAATGCGATGTTTCAGGCGGTATGTACTTCTCTCTCTTACTCTAATTTTTAATCATTACAAATCTACGTTTTCTTGCAGTCGGAGAAACAAGTGTCTGTCGAATTTTTTAGGTATACTCCCAGAATAACCAAGACGTGATCAGCGATTTTCTGAGTCGGCTAAAAGAATGTAAAAACTCTCTTTCAAAGAACGACCATGTTAGTTCAAGTGTTGTTGCTTTTTCTGACCGTATTTTAAGTTTTTTTCTACTTTTTGACTTAGTGCCTCTCCGAGAATTTCCTTTTTCTGGACGTAGTATAGTATAATGACAAAAATTTAAGGAGGTTTTGGTTCGTGTTGTCACGAATCTGTTTGATGAATACCGTTTTTTCTCCGAATATCCAGAAAAGGAATTACGAACAACTGCAGAGATTTTTGGTGGTTTTATCCGAGAGAAAATACTAACGTATCTCATTTTATTTTGCATATCACTCGTTTTTTCCAATTATAACTGCTGATAAAGTGAAGATTGGAAGTCGATTGTAGCTGTGGTAACCAGTTTGCTCTTGCGATTGCTATAATTCTGGATTCACTACGATCACCTCCTCATTCGAAGCTTTGGAATTTCGGGGTCACTTCATTAACCGCAGCTCATTCGGTTTTGCAGAGCATACCAGAAGTCTGTGCGTTGCTTATTAGTTTGAAAGGATACCAGTATTTCCCTAAGCCGTTGAAGGTTGGTCTCTGTACCTTACAAGAACGACCACTGCTTAATTTATAAACGATATCAAACACGCCGAATAAACTGTGTTAGGTGGTACTGTCTAAACCCGCTTATATCAAACGTCCATTCAACTTTTTTTCATATTTCAGGTTGTTATTGAGGTGGGTGCGGGATCTCGTATACAGCGAAGTGAGACTTCAGGGACGACACATTGGGAAGAAACTCACACTGACGTTCATCAAAACTTTGAAATGAAAAAGTCTCATAGTGTCGTAAGCTTCTTTTTTAAATTTTTTGCCTTATTTTTTTTGTTTCTTTTTCAGCTGATGGACATCTTCAGGGCACGAACATCTTTGCCTCAGCAAGTGCTGACGCTTTAATGGACGCTACTGAGATCACTGGGAAAAGTATCAAGCAGCCGTCTGAAGTAGTTATTGGCAAAGTTGCATTCTTATTTAACAATCTAACTCAGAGCTGTCTTTCAGAAAAGGTTAATTTTCTTCAATTTTTGAGTGCGTCCAAGCAGAAGTAAAAGAACTCTCCTGATTTTTTGAGGTATATCTGTTTTTATTAGTGAATTAACAGTTATTGTGGAGAATATTAAGACACCGCATACAGTGCCTCAAGTTTGTTTCTAATCCAGTTTCTCTCATGTCTTTTATTTTAGGAGTACTTTGTACAAATGATTTCAGGTTTTTGATGATAAGACAATCTTTTTAGGCTTTGGATGTAAGGAAATTAATAACAGAGTTCGGTGACGACTTCTGCCAATGGCTGGCACAATATATAGTGATCAAACGAGTGAGCGTCGAAAGTAACTTCCAACTGCTGTATAAGGACCTCTTAGTTTTGGTTAATGAGAAACGGTTGGACAGTTATATATTGCGAGAGACATTTCGTAATATAAAGGTGTTTATAACAGATTTTTTCCTTCAGTTGCTTTTCTTATATGAGTTTCTAATGCTTCTCTTTGAAGGTCTTACTTCGTAGCGAAAGGAAGCAATCGTCTTGCAGTTTTAGCGACAGACAGTTATTAAAAAACTTGGGGTCGTGGCTGGGTAAAATCACCATTGCGAGGGATCGCCCAATAGTTACTTCGGTTTGCATCTTAATTATTAGTTTGCTGGAATGTTAGTTTTTTGAAGGGTTGCTATGACGGCGCTTTTAAGGATTTGGATTTAAAGTCATTGTTAATAGAAGCAAATTTAAAAGGGGAAAACGAGCTGCTTCTCGTGATACCGTTTGTTACAAAAATTGTTACGGCCAGTGGTAGCAGTCAGGTGTGTATTTATGTACTTTGTCCTTCCTAAAAGTTGTTCTGATTTTGTGAAAAATAACAAATATTGAATATTTTTTGGAGCTTAAAGCAGTATTTGGTCATACAAATTACTTTTTGTTGTGTAATAATCATGAAGCAAAAAAAAGTTCATTTTTTACTAATTGCAGATTTTTCATCCGAATTGTGCATGGATTCGTTCTATATTAAGACTTTTAAAGGAGTCTCACGATCGCGAAATAAAGCTAAATCTTAAGTTTGAAATTGAGGTTTTGTTTAAACAATTAAAAGTTGACATTAACACGCAAGCCACAGATGGTCTGTTGGATGATAC